CCATATTTAAAAGGGCACCAACCAAAAACTACTGCGTAGAATTAATTGGAATTTTTCACACACAAGCCTTGCTATATGAGCTCTCAAAGCATATAAAAATTATACGGCTTAAATGTGAAGTTGCGCGCAAAAGAATACAAGTAAATCCTCTGTCGGGAAAAAACGAAATGACTTTCCGAACAACCCTATACATTAGTGGTTTATATTTTTATTTATTTTTATGATTTTGTTGATTCCATACAGATTTTGTTTGCTTATTCAGTGTAGGTATTACATGTAGCATGTAGGTGCGTAGACGTATGTAATTATAATTTTTTGCTTCACATAGTACGCAACGATTTTCCAATTACTGGTCGGGACATTGGGATTGACATCAATATAAACAGAATGAGCATACCTGCGCCTGATTAACAGGAGATTTGGTCCGATGCATCCGTATTATAAGTTGCAATTTGTACTTACATACGACCATTTGATACGTTCGTGTTTTGTCCAAACAGGTATTCATTTATTTGACGGTCGATAGCAAAACATACGTTCGAACGATTCAATTAAAATAATTAAAAGGAAGAAAGTGCATTTCCCTCTTCATATCTCTGCAATTATTATGTAATATATTCTGAATCGTTTCTTTACCACGAAAGTTTTAATAATGTACGCCAAAAGTCAGGATCGAACCTTTCAATAAAACAAAATTTAATCTGCTTGGTTATTTATTAAATCCATAGTGCGAATGGGAGATTTTTTCATTTCTTTTCACTTTATTAATTTCACTATGAAAAAGCCTTCGGCGTCTTTTTAGATGTTCTTTAATTCTAACATTAATAGTCCTACCACTTTGACCAATGTATCGTATAAATCTAATACATAACGTCAAAACTAGGATAACAGGAAAGTTAATGTTTCACCATGAAGGGGAGTTAGATATTATTTTCTGCTTTGTTGAAGATAAGTAAACGAAGTATTTCTTTTTTGTTAGGGAGTAGATGGAAGGTAAAAAACCTTACTTACAAGATCTCAAAATATCCTAAGAAACTAGTCAAGAAAGACGTCGATGCCGAAATCGCCAAAGCTTTTGCCGTATGGTCGGAATTCACCGATTTAAAGTTTAAACCTTCTAAAGGACAAGTTCATATTGAGATCAGCTTCGAAACTGGCGAACATGGAGACGGAGATCCATTTGATGGTCCCGGTGGAACCCTAGCTCACGCTTATTTCCCCGTAAGTGAATCAGCAGGGAGCTTTTTGCCCTTTAAACACAACAAATCTTAGTTTCTCTTTTATTATATTTAAACGTACCCATAGCAGACAGTTTAGAAATGACGAAAGGGAAACATTAATTACACAGGTCAACGAAAAATGAAGTACTTAAGAAAAAAGACCGAAGAAGACTCTTAGAATTTGTTTAGCAAGTCAAAATTTTTCATATGTCTAAATCCCAAAACTTAAGAACTACAATTTTTCAAAATCCAGCTTTGATGTGGCAATCACTTAACATCGTAAACTATTTTGGAAACTATATTTTTGGTCCTAATTTCTTGGTTCACGTTGACCTGTGTTATTAGTAGGCTTTACGTCCAATTTTGGTAAAAAGGGAGTACAATTTATTCGCATTGATTAATTAAAGTCTTCAGCAAATAACTCTGTGACAGAAGTGTCTGAAGAATTTAGGTCCTCTGAGTAGGATAATATATAGTCATTTGTTGAAGGTGTTTGGTGGAGACGCCCATTTTGACAACCAAGAGCACTGGACCATTTCGAGTTATCGCGGAACAAATTTGTTCCAAGTTGCTGCTCATGAATTCGGTCATTCGCTGGGTCTAAGTCATTCAGACGTTCGATCAGCTTTGATGGCACCATTTTATCGGGGATATGATCCAGCATTCTCTTTAGACATCGACGACATCGAAGGAATACAGTCTTTGTACGGCGAAAAGACCGATAAAACGGATAACGACGACAGCGACGGAGGAGAATCAGTAGGAAAACCCACGGCAATGACGCCCACCGAAGACAAGGAACTTTGCAACGATCCACGAATCGACACGATTTTTAATTCCGCTGACGGAGAGACGTACGCATTCAAGGGCGACAAATACTGGAAGTTGACCAGGGAAGCCGTAGCTCCAGGATATCCCAAACTAATATCTGAAGGCTGGCCAGGACTACCAGGAGACATAGACGCCGCATTCACTTACAAAAATGGCAAAACTTACTTCTTCAAGGGCAAACAGTACTGGCGGTATAACGGCAAAAGGGTCGACGGGGATTATCCCAAGGATATTTCGGAAGGATTCACCGGTATCCCAGACGATATCGATGCTGCAATGGTGTGGAGCGGGAATGGGAAAATTTATTTCTTTAAAGGTAGTAACACCTTTACAATATCATTAAGTATTAAAATTTTTAATAAAAATGTCATTCTTCCAGGTTCGAAATTCTGGAGGTTTGACCCGTCCCAACGACCCCCTGTGAAGGGCACGTATCCGAAACCGATCTCAAACTGGGAAGGACTGCCCAACAACCTCGACGCCGCGTTCCAATGGACCAACGGTTACACATACTTCTACAAAGATAACGCGTACTATCGGTTCAATGACAGGCAATTCGCTGTTGATTCTGCAAATCCCGCGTTCCCCAGGTCAACAGCTTACTGGTGGTTCGGCTGCAAGAGTTCGCCGAGGGGCACTATAGGTACCCGCTTTACGTCGAACGGATGGCTACTTGCTGACGAGAGCGATTTTAACGGAATCCCACAAATTGATAGTAGTACGGGAGATGATATTTTCGACACAGGTAGGGCACCCAGAAAAAAATCGTTGACAACTCTTTATAACTATTGTATGAACTGCTTTTCTTCTATGTTTTCTCTATATTTCGGATCGCGCATGAGACAATTATTACTGACTTACAATTAAGTAGTAGGAATGCTAGAAATCTATTACCTAATCTTCGTAGATATCTCGTAAACAAATGAGTTTTTCTTATTTGTTGATGTTAGTAAATATTTGAAATATTAATGTGAAAATTCATTTTCATCCATTAAAAACTTCCTCAGGAATGGAAAATCGGAAATGAATTTTCACATTAATATTGCATATTAACCACTATTAGTAATTAAAAATGTCATAATATTTGAAATCTACGTTTAATTCGAATTGTTTTCCACAATAAATCTAAAAGCAGAAAATTACTGCTTGAATGACCAAAAAATAATCAAAAAAATTAGCATCAATAAATTTTCCGTTTTAGTTAATTTCTGATTTTAAATAAGTCTTTCCAAAATAAATTCATTTAAATATTATCAAGTTCTGATAAGTGAAAATATTAACAAAACTCTGAACGTATTAAACTTGAGTTTCTTAAAATTTGGTACAAAAACAGAATTAGAATTTTAATATTTCAAGAATTTGCTGGAATTTTACTAACCATTAATATTAGCCGACGAGCATTTGCATGAAAAAAAAAGCAACCATAAAATTCTAATTAATGATCTACCCCATTTATCATTAAAGACAAACTTCCCAGGAACCCGCATAGATGCATAAAATAATATTAATATTAATGACGTACTCAACAGGATTTCTGCGCTTGATCTTTCCATTTTAACGTAAATTTATAATGCCTGTCATTTTTATAATCGCTCTCTTCAACAAGTATGTATATTTCAAATAATTTTTGAGTTTTTGACGCACTTATTATTGGTGGCGGGCACCTAAAAATCATGCAATTATCACATACATACGTGGGATGATGTAGATATCTGCGGACTTTTAACTCATTTTTACGAAGGCGTACAAAAGCATAACGTATTTCTTTTTTTAATTTAGACTTGTAACTCAATATTTCTACTTCGAATTCGAAATTTCGAGATACAAGTCGTAACTATTACATTAATATTATTTATTCCATCGCGCATCGGATTCACAACTACTAAAGCTTCGCAGAAATTACTGCGAATACGGACGCGTATGCAAAAAAATGATGCAGAAGTTCCGCAGATATGCTTTGCTTTTTTCATCGTTTGTGTAGGCATATGTAACCTTGCAAGTCTTCCTGTGTGTATTTTCTGATCTGCTTTATTGCATTATTTATTATATGTAAGTACATAATTCACGTAGAGATAGACAGGCAAAATACAACGTACCATTTCATTGTTGGTATCGTTTATGTTGTTTGGAATCATCGCATCAATACTAACAATGTATAGACAAAGGTGTAAAAAAAGTTGGATGCAGTTGGCATTTTGAATAAATAAATAATAAAATGCACGTCTGGTGACCCTGGCATGTGTAAAAAAAATAGTTTGGTCGCTGTGCATGACATACCTATATATATAGCGGTTGTATACTTCTTTGCATTGTTGATATCTATTATAAACGTTAGTCCTTCCTCAATAATTATTATTCGATAAAGTCAATAAGATAAATTAAATACAGCATGATTAAAATGCATTTGAAAGTTCGATTAAATACAGAGTGATTTTTAGATTTTGTAACTAACATTAGGATGGTTTTAAAACATATACAGTTCTAAAGACATTTTTTTTGAAGCATACATATAAACAATATTTAAAACTTTTTCTCTAACACCAAAAAGTAATGTTATTAAAACCAATTAATACTTAATTGCCACGCGAATTAAAAGAACATAATATGTTTTCTGATACTTCATTATATATTGCTTAACTTCTGATATTTCTGGTAGATACCAAAAGTATTTTTGAACATCTGCAATTAATTAAAGGAATAATGACGACCAAAACTCCTAATGTTAGTTTCTGATCTTGTTTGTAGCATTTTATTAGAAAAAGCCATACGCAAATAACAAAAACAACCCCCTTCATATACGGAGACAATTAAAAGTAAAATTTTGTTTCAAAAAAATAGCTAAAAATAGTCCAAATAATTATTATAATTTTTTACCACAGAAATAGTTAGTTCTTTATTGAAATAGGGTTAGTGAAACGCGTAAGAAAATTTTGAATTTTCCCTAAAAATTTACAAATAGATACCATTTCTGTAAATAGTTTTTAATCAGTTATGTAGAAAATAAACATAAAAAAAGAATTATTTAAATGAATTAGCAAACTATATATATCTACTGCTTTTGTACAGCAAATTTCGTAGACTTTATTCGTTCAATTTATTATTGTGTGTCGGTGAGTAAGGGACCTAATAAGGGCACAAAGGTTAGGTCAATAGGGTAAGGGTAGACATCTGTCACGTGGGTTAGCACTATGATGAAAATGCTGTTGCCACGCATATTTTTTAACTATCACAAAAAAAATAAAAGACAAGGTAATTTCTCGAAATCGTGAACAATGAAGTAAGAAGAAAATTCTAAACATCATTAATTAATTGAAATATGTTAAATTATTGGACTCATTTCGATCTTCTACAACCCCCTAAAGGTTCTATCAAACATTTTCCTTTTTGTTGTATGAAAATTCCAATCTCTCCTAATATAATTTATTAACCAAGTAATCGACATTGAAAAAGCCTTAGCTTAGATCGGAAAGCTAAACGTCGGCGGAGTTACATAATAAAGAACAATTCACTCCCTTCTGACTGCTTTTAATTGAAAGTATCATTAGGGATGATAGTACAAACCATTAGCAATCTTTTTCGAAATTCTAAATTTTTAAGTAATAATTATTTTTAACATTTTTCTTACACTTTAATTATTAGTCGATGCTATACTGTTTGTGTTAATTTGTGAAATTAATTGTGAAAAAGTATGGTCATTTGATGTTTTTGATTTTTCACGATTTCCGAGATTTTCCTCGAACCAAATAGGGCTTGCTCTGTAAATAAATGCTAAAACTTCGGTCGGAAATTTGCGTATGGTTTGCATTCTGCACAGCCTGCTTCGTTGCGAATTTAGTGGCAATTGTTTTTTGACAGTTATGCGTAGATGGTTTTTTAATATACGGCACGGCATTCCAGAGTCCAACCCCAAGCGCAATGCCAGGTACTGAAGACGCCGATTCATCGAAAAGTATGTTTTTCGTGCTTCTTATTTTATAGTAGTCTATTACGGTTTTTTTTTTTGAATAGTACATTATCAATTTTGAAAAGTAACCATTGTGACAAGTCCAATTTCATTTTATACATTTCGCTATGACGCTTTTTACCCCACGTTTTGCTACAACTGCCAATCAAAACTTTTTTTTTAATTAACATAACGCTTTGTCTTTTTTGTTCTGGTGACGTCTGAAGCTGTTGTTTTTTTCGTTGTCTAAAGGATTAACAATTGAGAATTACCTTAACAAACGAACTCAAATGTACATTCTGATTACCCCATAACTATATTAAATTATTTTTGACCTTATCAGACTAACCGATAATTATTTTAAAGCATACCGAATGTTTTTGGTAACAAATGTGTAAAAAAAAACAATACTATTTATGTTTTGTGAAATAATTAATAATTACGTATAATTACAGTATTTCTCCGTCATTAAAAATTGATAACTAACTAATTAATTTATTAATATCAAAAGGGAAAAACCAAAACTATTGATCATCAAATTTTAATGTCGAAGAAATAAGCAGGTTAATGAGTGATGACAAATACTAATGAATATTTAATATTGTTAGATGAACACCAAAAAAGCAATCCAACAGGTGAATCTTCGGATGGGCCCTCGAACGAGCCACGGACGTCGCAAGGTAACGACGATTCAGGTGTTGACCATGTGACGTCATCACTGATAGTAATAACAGTGGCGGCGCTAGCGGTCGCACACTTGGGTTCATAGTTTCGTATACGGATACTTTAAGGCGCGTGTGTAAAACATTATACCTAGTATTCTATCCAAAGTAGTCGTTTTATAAACGACGACATCATTTAATTAAATGGACAACTGACTGATGAGAACTCAACTAATAAAATTATTGAAGTGTGATGTATTAGAAATAAGAGAAGAATGTAATGATGATACTACCTATAGCTTTAAGTTTGTTAAACATCTCAGTTTTTATTTAATTAATTCCAGAAAACCACGAAACAGAGATCAACACGTATGTAAAATAATAGCTTTTGTTTGAATACAGTAAAAGTTGCTTATCCACGGGTGAAAAAATTGCAACCCAGTTCCTGCATTCGCGGCTAAAACTTTCATTATTCGCCGATGCAATCGGTAAACAGAAAAGGACTCGGTGTCATTTATTAAGGGGATTGATCGCAATAGACCGCTGTGTAAATTTTTTCGAAAACATGGATTTCTATTCTAAACATTGTAATTTAACACTGCAAAATAAATATCTAATTTTTTTGTGTGGTAACAGACAAAGGTTCACACTTACTCGGTACGTTTTTGGTTTTCAATAATACGGTCATCAAAAGCTTTTACAAGTACTTAAAGTTGATGCTTCTTGTAGGACACGTATTTTCAATAAAAATTAAAAAATTAAAAAATGGCCTTCGACAGGCGTTAGAATAAAGCTTTATCTATCTTACTATAAAATTTCAAACTTCTATTCCAAACATTAAACTCATGATATCTAGAACCGATAAGCATGTTTTTAATCTACGGTGCGTGTACTACCGAATCCCCTTAATGTATCGGCATTTTTAGAGTATGTACTGCTGGTACGTGTCCAGGCGACTTTTATAAAAGATGTAACCGAGTGGATTAATTTTAAAATTCAAAACAAGAAAAAATTACTAAATTTTTTAAACTCTTGTCTAAAGCTGATTATAACGATTAATTTTTAATTGCGAATTTATTCCATACTAATTATTAACATATTTATGGAACGTATACCCCGCGAATAAAGAGCTTTTACTGTAATTAATTTAATTTTTTCCAGAATCAAACTTGACAGACGTTTGATCTCTTCTTCGTCTAATTTTTATTTGTTATTTAATCGCGTGTGTGAGTATGAATTTAATAATTTATCAACGTAGACAACGTGTGGAGCTTTACGATGGGACCAAAAATTAATTTGAAATAGAATCACACAACAGTACAGTATTTAGAAGAAGTTACAACGAAAATAATCATGACGTATACATTAGATTGACGATCATTATTATTGTAAATAAATACATGTAGTGAAATCTCAATATTTTATAATGATTTCGTTAGAGACTTGTCCAAGTACTGTATTAAACTATACGTTCTTTTTGTGCGTTTTAATTAACAGTTTTGTTGTTGATGTAGGCCCGAATGATTATTATATATATAAAATACATTTTTTTTTACAAATCCGTTTTTTCATTTACCTATTTCAATTGCCTTTCGGTGTTACCCTTAATTTAAACCGTTAAGAAACCCCTGCAATCTCGGATTACGATGTTGGATTTCTGTCAAAAGTGGTCATACATTACAATCAGTGAGTGAACAACAATCAAAAATCATCCCCTGTTTTCCTGCTCTGAAGGTTCGAATTTTTTTCCAAATTCATATGACACCAACTTTGTGGTGTGCCATTTCCAATAAAAAAAGAATTATCAAAATCGGGCTATTCTGTCCAAAACTTGACGTGGTCATACATTACAATTAGTGAGTAAACAACAATCAACAATCATCCCCTGTTTTCCTACCCTTAGGGTTGGAATTTTTATCCAAATTTATATGGGACCAACTTCGTGGTATACCATTTCCAATAAAAAAGGAACTATCAAAATCGGACTACTCTGTAAAAATTTATGCGTGGTCATACATAAAAAAAAACAAAAAAAAAATAGGCGTCGACTTGAGAACGTCGTTTTTTTCGTCGGTTAAAAATCAAATCAAAGAGGCAATTTATACTTAATGTAAAACCCGCAATCGAATCTCGACGTGGAAAAAATTGAGTTAAACAAACGGACGGATTCGTTTAACAAATCCTAACAGCTTTTCATTTTGTTGGGTTGACGATTACAAGGGAGAGTTTTGTCTCTAATATTTCAGTGTTGATAATATGGACGCGCTAATGAACGGTGGTGTTTCTACACAAAATGCCCGGACACAACTACGTGTATTAATCTAAAACATGACACGCATAATATAAAGGGCAAGGCATCACATAATTTAGTTCGGGAGACTTGACGGAACTTGCGGCTGTTGTTTAATTTTAAGGGACTGCAAACTAACCGGCCGCGGTCGGCTCTGTCAGGATGCTATCTTCATTTATTATATTTACGTCACTAATGGACCAGAAAGAGCAGTTACCTTATTTTCAAAAATAAATAATATAAATATGTAATGGAACACATAACTTCCCATGTGTCAAAAATCTTAACTAGAATTGTACAGAGGAGGATTAAAAAAAGGACGGAAGAACTATTAGGGGAAGATCAATTTGGATTTAGAAAAAATAGAGGAACGCGAGAGGCCATTCTGGCTTTACGGGTAACAATAAAGAAAACGATAGAAAAAAGAAAGAGTGCGTACATATGATTTGTAGATTTAGAAAAAGCTTTTGAAAATGTTAAATGGGACAAGATGTTAAATATACTTAAAAATGTAGGGATGAGTTAGAAAGATAGAAGAGTGATACTTAGTTTGTATAAAGAGCAACAGGCAGTTATAGAGCTGGGGCTGCAACGTAGAAAAGTAAATATTAGGAAGGGTGTCAGACAGGGATGCAGATTGTCACCTCTACTTTTTAATCTATACATCGAAGACGTAATCAACATCATTAAAGTCAGTACAACTGTAAGGATAGATATATAGGGGCAAAAGATTAGCAGGCCTAGATTTGCAGATGATATAGCAGTATTAGCATCCAGCAAGGACGAGTCAGAGATAGCTTTAAATAAAATGGAAGCGGTATTGACAAAACAGTATTGTATGAATATAAATAAAAGTAAAACAAAAATACTGGTATGCAAGTGAAGAAAAAGTAGGGAAAGAGCGAATATAAAGATAGGAAACGAAAAACTTAGAAGAAGTGACCGATTTTAGGTATCTAGAAAGTCATATAAATCAGGACAGAAGGAGTAGTATTGATAATTAATTTGATTAGTTTATTTGGAGCTCAGCGCTGTACGGGTGCGAAACATGGACGGTGGGCGCAGCGGAAAATAAAAAGCGTTAGAAATATGGTGTTAAAGGCGAATGATGAGGATACTGTGGATAGAGAAGGTAAGAAATGAAGAAATATTAGAAAGAATAGGAGAACAGAAGACTCTATGGAAGTGAATGTCAGTAGGACACCTTCTCAGGCATGAAGGTCTAGTCAGAGACATATTAGAGGCAAAAACGGAAGATAGGAGGGGTAGAGGTAGACCTAGATTAGATTACTGTTCGGAAATAGTTAAGGATATGGGATGTTTCGTTTGAACAGAATAGTTCACTTAGACCACGGCCCTATAGCCCGAATCTTCGTTCTACCGTGGATTCCGGCCGTGAAAGCCTTTGTTCTGTTATGGGTTGTTCTAGTTTTAGAAAAATTGGAAGATTAACTAGGGATAGGAAAGAGTGGAGGTACGTGTCCAACCAATCTTAGGGTTAACGACCTTATAATGATGATGTAATCGAATGAGTTTTAAACCTTGTAATGTTGCAAATGTTTCCATCATCCTTCTGTTTTTGTCGCTCCTCAATGGTTTTTCTTTGCTTTGTGGACCAGCATCTAATACAGCAATAAATCGTAACGATTTTCTGTTCTGATTAAATATTCGAAGAAGAAACGATTATCTGCTTATTCCAATCTCCTAAATAATGAAAAAAAAAACGGTTTTTTCCTCTAACGGCGTTGGGGACAAGCCATTAATCATCCAAGTATCGGTTTAATGTTGCAATAGTCGAACAGATATAGAATATATAGATTTTGGCCGCCGTTCAACTCCTGTATCGCGTTAAAAAAGGATTAACTTCTTTCGTCGAAAATAAATTAAGTTACTATATGTAATGGATGGAGAAATAAAATGTAACTGTTTATCGATATTTTAATAGCTCTACCACGCCATAAAATCCCAGCACGTTTTTAAACCCTTTCGATTGTGTTGCAAACAAAATAAACTCTCAATGTCAATACTACGAATAATGTGACGGTTTCTGTACGCCCATGTTGAACCGCAATGGTATTGAGCATCGTTGACCAGATGTTCATTCATTATAAGAAATAGTGGTAGCAAATGGGTACCAAGTCTGGACTATAGAGTGGGTGGGTATGGATCAATCTTCGCGACTTTTTCTTCGAGCATTGACAACCCCACATCTTTTTTGTAGTTAATTCCCGTTTTACAGCATGTCCTATTTAGATTGATCTGGCCCTGATGTGGGCACCCTATTTCGACCCTTTAACAGGGATGTTCTATTGAGCCTGATCTACCTTTAATGATAATACCCTATCCTAACCTTTTTATGGCATGTCCCATTTGAAGTTAAGGTTAGGGTACGAATTGCAGCCCCAACTGATACAACCTTCTTTGTAAATGATTACCAATAAGACAAGCTGGAGCGTCGTAGCAGGCTAAGAGATGGTCTAATTGAGATGGTAATAAGCGTAAGTCATACTCAGCACTGTAGCCAGAAGTCGAACGAACGAAAAATTCAGCCCCAGCCTTTTGGAGAGTTTTCTTTTCGGATTACCCTTATATTTCACCTGGGACATCTATATAATCTTATTATGAATCTAAATAAGTAGTTCCTGTATAATTATCCATTGCATTTGAATCATATTTAGTTTAGATGACTGAAGATGCATTGGATATTATTAAAATTTGTCACTTAACAGTAAAATTTGTCACTTAACAGCAGGTATATCTTTAATTCCCGGCTGATCATTGTTTTTCTGTTTGTTTTTAAATTGGAAAACATTGCGACCAGGTTTTTTTCAAACGTTGCACCTTCTGCTTTGCCTCGGCGCGCCGCATTACGTCGATCGGCGTCCGGGTAGCGTCTGGTGTTATTCGCGTTGTCGCCAACGGCAATTTCTGGCGGAAATCTCATCAAACGATGAGATCGAAAGTGTTACTTTTGGTGCGATATGTCACATATAACAGCCAACATCTTTTTCGGTTCCGGACGACTGGTGGCGCTTTTTGTAATCATTTCCGTCGATGTCGTTTTCACAGGAATAATAGGACAACCGGCTTGTTCAATTCGATACCTATAGCTACTGCAATTTTTTTTTTATGATAAACACACACTGGAGAACCTTCACATACGAATCAGTTTTTAGGAATAAAAATTAACTATTATCAAATCAGTCATGCTTACAATGACCAGAGATGTTTTCCTCATATTCAAGTATTTGTGAGCAGTCATCTAATCTAGTTTAAATACTTCTACTCATATTTACTCCTGTTCCTGCTTCTATTATGTCTCTTTAGTCTAGTCCTTAATGTCTCAAAACATGTCCTACCATCCTCTTTTGATGATTGTTAACTATCAGTATCATCCTTGACCTTAACCTAACAAACAAATTTTTGGTCTTTTGTTTATGACAAAACTGAGGCCGATTTTACTCATAATCAGTCAATATTTTGGGGCAACAGCAAAAGTTGTTGGTTATTATTTGGTGTCCTTTTAATCGTTTGTATAATTGACTATTAGAATGAGTTTTCAAGAAAAATTTTTTGTTTGATCCTTTTAATAATCATGTCTTTCTGTGAGCATTTTTCTACGTCGACAGCCAAAAATAAACACCAAATTATCTTTCTAAATAAATTCTTTTTAAGAAGAGGCCATCCCGCGGTAGACGTCGGGTTGTCAGCCTAGTTAATTATATATCGTCTTATAGAGAGTTGGTTGGTTTCCTGCGCTAAGGAATCCTAAATGTTCCCTTTACTAGCTGAGAGAGATCCTTGTATATTGTGGAACGAATTATGTATGTATGTATGTGTGTTGGGCCAGGACGTCGGTCGTCGGCAAGGAAGGACAACGTGTCGGCGGCACCTGGCCGTGCGTGCGTGTGTCATTGCAGCGGATTAGCGGCGTCGGCGTCGTCAACGAGCGGCGCGGCGTCGCTATCGTCGTGTTCATGCCGCTGCGAGGTGGCGCGACGATTGATTGGGGGTGGCTATCGATCGTGGCGGCGCGTGCGCATCCCGGGCAGTAACCGCCGCACTGGTGCCGTGCAAAAGAGACTGCCGCCGGCACAGCTCGCACCCGGGCGGGAAGTACAACCGTGACCGATATTAACCTCCTTCCAAGATGGCGAACGTTTCGGCAACAGCGACAATACCGACGAACGTTGTTGAAAAAGCAAGAAACTGCTGCACCGGACTCGCACAATTGTCGTCCTCGTCGACATCGTCTCCTTCGGCGTAGTAGTGCTCGTCTTCTTCCAAGTGCAACTCTTGCCATCCCATCCTATCCCATCCCGTCTCGTCTCATCCCATCGTTATAGTGTACGCGAGTGTGAATGTGGAAGAGTGAGCGACGCGACGCGCGGTCGAGGAAGATGTGATGTTGTTGTTGTGCTGCGTCCGTGCAACTGCCGTCGTCGTTGCCGCCGCCGACGTCGTCGAGTCGAAGAATGTGGCGACATGAGCGAGGGCCGTCTTCGTGCGGAGGACGGAGGACCGTCCGTCACAACCACCACGTTTTCCGTTCAGCTGTTTCTCTCGTGGTTTCTAATTCATCTGTTGTACAGCAGCCAAGGCAGCAACAAAAGCAGCATTATCGTCGCAATCAGAAGCTGGCCTAGCGGTCGTCTCTTCGGCCGAGTGAAAAAGTGCCGCAGGTGCATCTGGCGTGTGGCCCCCGGGGGCGATTGGAGCCGCAAGGGGGAGGAATACTCCGGCCGCCCGCAGCCGCGATGCTCGCGGTTTCCGTGACCGTCGCCGCCACCGACGACCGCCGAGCCGCCGCCACCGCCCCCTGCCTCGTCGCAGAATGCCCCGGGCCCTCCTGGCGGGCCTGGTGCTGCTCCTGATGGCCGGCCACCTCGTCGTGCTTGCCGCATCATCGTCCTATTCTTCTTCTTCCTCTTCTTTTACTGTCGCCCATACCAATAGCCACATCACCCCCACCACGACCAGCACCACCACGACCACAAAACCAAGTGTTCGACCATTGCAGAAGCAGCAGCCGCCATTTCCACCCTTTCTACTACCGTTCGCAGAAGGACATCAACAACAGCAAGATCAAGAACAAGCAGCAGCAGCAGCAGCACCTCTCGAAATCATCAACCCTTGGTTGTCGGCGTGCGACCTGCAGCCCGCGAGCGCCACCGACTTGCAGGGCGCGTGCTCCGCCACCATGTGGGGCCCCGGGACAAGTATGTGCCTGCCTTCATGTAGGCGCGGCAACGACGTTCACGCTGATGACATTTTGTTTGCTGCTAGTAAAAATAAAAATAATAATAATAAAAAACGTAACAGTAACAGTACTAGTAATCAGTGCCTTTTTTATTTGGAAGAATCGCACAAAGACGTGGTGTGCGACCATCGTCGCGGCTACTCTCCGGAAGAACGACGGGATGTGCTCGAAAAGCTCAGGATCCGGCATTGTTGCGAGCACTCCGTCCTGTCCGCGTTGCCGTTTCCCGCGGTGCCGGGGGACCACGACGACGTGCTTCGTAACGACGACGCCTGCCACCGGCTGCTCGATGCTCTGCTCGAGGTGGACGCGCTCGCCGCGCGGATGTCCTGCGAATACGCGGAAGTGCTCACTCGTTACGATTGCGGACAAAACTATTCCATAGCACACAACTGCAACGACTGCCAGGTAGGCAATGTCATTTTCCTTCATTGATGTTACAGTTTGTGGCCAGCAAGGGACCTTTAACGTCAGTATTACGCTCCGTTATTTCCCTTATTATCCTTTTAACATCCACCATTACGCCAAATCTCTAACATCTACCCTGAGAAAGCATTAGGAAGATTAATAGAATATAACCTTCATCTAGTATCGGCAGTGCTTCTTTTCGTGCCTCACGAAATAATTAACTTATGTTGTACTTTTATAACATTAGTAATAATAACAGCAATGCTAAATTCATTTCCATTATTTGTGTCTGATTGTCCTTTTTGCTTCATCTTCCCTCAAACCATTTCCTTGAGAATTGGCTTATTTGCAGGCGCCATGTTTAAAAAGTCATTGGAAATTATGACTTTTTAAAACTCTCAGCCTTTAAGTCCTTTGGAATGGCAGAATTTTTACTGACTAATCATGTTGAAGTTGGATACAAATATGTTTATACATTTTCGCTGATGGTAAAGTAAAAATCTTTTGAATAATGTTGTCAGAAGAATATCAAATGTTTAATTCTAAAACAGTATTTCATTCTAAAGAAAAACTCATTCTGAGACCTATTCAAATCGTAACGAAATCCGCAATTTCGGTAATAATGATTGACGACGAAAGAAACGTTGAAATCGATTGATGTGGTCGTGAGGTCTCAGCAAAACTTCCTTTGCGTCAACTCTAGCCATTCGACTGGAGCATGACAAGTTACCACTTAGGATTTACGTAGACTAGAAAATACCGTCCAAATTTAGACGCTGGGTACTGCTGACGGTGATCACATTTGTGTCATTTAGAGATGTATTTGTCTTGTAAAAGTTAAAACTTTAATGAAAAATTCTGATATAACGATAACATCCTGGATACCGAAAGTAAACCTAGGAAACCCTTGACTCTTTTAATTTAATTCCCACAATGCCCCATCATCTGCTAGCTCAGTTTCACCGACTTTGGTTACAAGGCGAAAACGTCGAATAAAATTTTATAGATGTCTATGTAAATCTTAAAAAAGTTAAAATTGATTGCGGCTTTCCGGCATATCACACACCCTTAGCCGTTTTTCTCCCAATTTTCGAATCGAATGGGGCCACCCTTGAAATATAACCTATTCCATAAAAATAGAATTATTAAAATCGGTTCATAATAATTACTTTTCTTATGCAATAGTCCAGTCGTTAAAAAATTTCCGCGACATTTTGCCTACAGATCAAGAAAGAATCACAACTTTTATTATGAAATCGGTCACGCATTCGTCCATGTGCCTGGCACAGTCGCTCTTCTCAGAAAGCGTTTGATATGAAAACGTGAAATTTAGCATTATATTAAATTGAATGACCCCTTCAAATTCTACAGCAGTTATCCCATAAAAAAATATTCGTACTTATAAAAAATTTAGCAGTATTAGACTTTCATTGATTTCTCTGACTCCTCGAATAAATTGGACCTATGGCGTGCTGATGAGAGCAACGTCTGACAGTTTCATAAAGTTGAGCAAACAGATACCCCAGTAAGGTCCTCGTCTAACATTAAAGTATCGGGTACTGTTATAACTCGATATTATACGTGAAGATACATAAAGAAAAACTGAATTTTATGATGGATTTAACAATATGTATCTACTATAAAATAAGATGTATGGTGTCGTGAGACATCCGGTAGAAACGAAGTTTCATGTGCTATTTTTTGGCCAGCATCGCCAGAACTAGGGAACTTAGAGCTAGCTCAGGTAAAGAAAAACTAGGGAACAATGCGTTACTGTTACAGTTACATTAAATATATATTTCTAGCGTAAGTATTGTGTATACTTCTAAAAATTACGACTAGAAGGAAAAGCGCGAGGGAACATTTGAAATGAAATTGTAATGACAAGTCGGACAGTTTCTGCATTTTAAATGAAGCCTGAGCATTCTTCATAGCTTTCTTTAATGCTCTAACGGCTTATGTTAAAGCTCGCTATATATTAAACACGGCCCACTTTGTAACATTCCTGCAAACTCAAAAGATTATATAATATCTAAAAAACGAACTGGGATTCTCTTTATAGCAGGTCATCATTTCACCCTGGTTAGATCAGAAATATTTGAACCTGATCAACCAACGAGACTTAGTTAGAAAGATGTGTACCTATATACAATAAACCATTATAGAAGATACTATAGTAAATCCAAATCCTGTCTGGATGTTGACAGGAGTTGTCTAACAAATTTTCAGTTGGGTTTATGAGTAATGCAAATCTTTCGCGTTTTCTCATTCGTTTTTCTCGTGCTCTGGAACGTCTAATCGTGTTTAATGCATTCTCATCTCAAGTCAATTTTACACTAGAGGGGATATAAATGAAAGACGAATTAGCACTCCCGAAGAGGACGCCAAAGTGTTGCTAAATTGCTTAATAGAAAGTTTGATACCTCTTGTTTAATTATTAAAGACTTTGACTTCGGCCCGGGGTGTGAAATGAGAAACTGGAATAATTAAAGTAACCGTTACTTCTGAAATTTTAAAGAGAAGGTAGAAGAAGAAGAGAACTCTTTCGATTCAATTATCTATCACAAAATTTTGCCCAACAAAGAGTGCATTTATGGGCAATTCTCTAAACGCATTTCTGTTTCTATTAAGAACACGTATATATGTCTGATTTTTGTATATTATTCAAAAAAAGAATCGAAAACTCACTAAAACGACTAAAAATGTAAAGAACTTTTCTGGTTAAAGTCTAAACAAACTCTCTTGCCGTAGGTATGTAAATTGTAATAAATATTCAGTTTTAAATAAACGGAAATAACAAGTGCAATATTAAATTGTGTCGAGTTCCGCATTGCTACAACTGCGGCTTAAATATTAATGACACTGACTAGAGATCTTCATTAAAAGTTACAGGAAACCAAGAACGTTAATTAAAGCGTTTTGAAACAAAATAAAGGTGCGACTGGAATTAAAACTGTTGACTAACTAGGCGACTGCTCTTACAAAATAAATTTAACCGTAAAAAAACCTTCACGTAATAACACTCTGATAGTATTATCTTGTCAAAGATAAAAAGAGATTATTCTGCAGAGGATTCTGTCAAAATTCAAAACGTACGTATAATCCTATCACAATGACACAACTACATAATACATGACAAATTCGAAGAATATTATTAAAGGTGTATCTGGTACACAGCTTTGTACGAGTGCGAAATATGGACAATGGACGCGATGGAAAAGAAAACGTTATACATCAGGCATCAGGCGAATGATAAGGATAGCGCAGATAGAGAAGGTTAGAAATAAAGTGGTATTAGAAAGAATAGAAGAACAGGGGGGGACTAGTATTATTTAAAAAGATTTAAAATTTTGCCACTAGCCTCATTACTTCGGATTAATGTTCTTAACTGCTAGATTCATTAATAATTGTTGATATTGATAACACAATTGGTTTCACTTCTCTATTTTTCTCCAAAGAATATAAAAGATTAGAACTGTTCAAACAGCTTTTAGAAGCTCGTAATAGTCTATCTAAAACAGTAACTATACTTCGTTTAGTTTCTCTAGCGATGTGACCTTTAGTTTGACCGGCGCAAAGAAGAAGAGAATAGCACTAGGTCAGACAAGAAAGGAGGATACTCTCGGCCAAACTCTTCACAAGCGAGGAGTGTATAATCCGCACAGTACTGCACGGAAAAATTAACCATTTTGTCCACTAAAATTGCATTGCTCAAATGTGCTGTTATTGGTACCAATTACTACTGAAAATATCAATGAGATGTTTATTTATATTTGAAGACATATTAAACACTTTAACCCTTGTTTTCGACTCGCACTACTATTCATGATTGAACAAAAATTTTTGCAGGTACTGTTTGAAAAAGTGTGTTAAATGAATAAGAGTCGAGAGTATAATAAGCTTTTTTCTCTTTACCTACGATTGGAAGGGGCACATCGCTAGATAAAGTAAACGAATTATACCTAATACTAAAATATAAGAATTTAGCTAAAAATATATACACAAGAGTATTGAAATCACTAGGTAATGTGTATATTTAAAAAGATTAATTATAAAATTATATAACAACACCATTCATTATTCATATTTTATGGCAGAGAGCAGACCTTATGCGCAAAAAACACCGGAATTTGGAGGTACCCCTCGACATGTTCTATTTCTTGTTCCACCCGTAATATTCACATTGTTCCAATACCAATTTTGTGCGACACCTTCGACAAGCAGAATATAAATATTGGTACCTCTTCGTTCAACTGTGCCATGTACGTTTGTTATTGTAACGTTACGGATTGGAATGCCGTTGCTGGGAGTACCTGTGGGACCAGGCATGTTCCTATAATCGCCTCGCATCAAAATTCCATAATCCTTTATTTTGCTTAAGGTAATGTTATCATAAGTAACACCGGAAACTAATCCAGTAGCATTAACCACTGTTTTTATTCGAATTCCGGTTCCTGAATTCACTACAGTAGAATGGGTAATGTAAACATCTTCGACGACATTATTTGTCCTGTTACCAACCGACCCTATCGATATCCCATGACCACCAGAACAGAAAGCGAGTGTAAAGTGAATGTTTTTTCCGGATCTAACGGCCAAACAATCGTCCTGATTGTAGACGGTAGTATTGCTAATGAAAACATTTTCGGAACCTTTAACGTTAATTGCATCGGTATTGTGACCTCCTTGGGTATCTCCATCTTTAGTATTCATAACTACATTATTTACGGTTATATTTGTACAGTTGTGAATGGCGAAACAATGACGTGGTGAATTGAGAAAATTTATATGGTTCACGACTCCGTTGTACAAATATCGGATTTTGAAAAATCTTGGTTTTCGAACGCCACCGTTGCCACCAAGATTGTCCCACCATCTCGCACCCTGACCATCGAAGACGTGTCCTCTTTCACCTGTTATATTTATATTAGTACCACTTATCAATACCAAGGGACCTTTCCATTCTGCGTATCCGAAAGAAATGTTTCCTTTAAACGTTATCGACACATCCGATAAGCCAGTTAAATCTAATGTTTTACCAGCTGGTACAGCCAGGTTTTCTATGGTGATATCATTACAAGAGGATTTAATTGCGTCAAGTTCGTCTATTGAATTTCCCGTTAAAGTGCACGATGTCGCCCTGTTCAAAGGACCACTGAAAAATGTTGCGGAAGTTATTTCCGATGCTGCAACAGCTACCACACCCAAACCAATTAATATTTTAAGTATCAACTTCATAATTATTGGAAGATGGCAACAGTCAGTATTTAAATAGTGGACCTCTAAAAAAGTTATGGTAAAATAAAAGATAAATTTAAGGATAAGATAAGTAATTCTCTATTATTTTCTTTCAAACATAAGTGTTTATTGAGTAACCCTAAAGTAAAATAATGCTTACACATTAAAAAAAAAAACAACGACAATTTGGTTTCGCCCTCTACAGTTTTTGTAAATAATTATTCAAGGCATGTTTCACAATAAACTAACTACAATCAAATTTAATAAAACACTTGTGATTCAAAATAAGAAACGATAAGAAAAATATATCTAGCTACATACCTTATTCAAAAATCGGTTATTACCTATTAGTTATTACAGTACGGATTAACCACTTATTTAAAATATAGTTATTTACCCAATATTAATTAAAAACAAAATTTGCGAGTGTTGTTTACGAAAAACTTTAAGATTATGATACAATCAATGTATTGTTCTGCTAAGTGTTTTGTGTTATCAATCGCATGACATGAGAAAAAATTTCATAATAGTAGGCATATCTTGTACCTATAGATATAAGGCAAGTGCGTGATCAGGGCCGAATCTTTAAAAGCCCCCTCCCTCCCACAAAATATTGATAAACATAATTTCTTTTTCTATTACTGCTACATCTTCGTGTGTCCCAGTAACGGGATTCCTAATCATTTTTGTATGAGAGTAACACCAATCCCATGTTTTAACATCATGTTTTTCTCTACATATCCTAAATTCTCGTTTCCTTTTTGTATCTAATCCTTGTATTAGCCTCACATTACTTTAACATCTTTTTATCCTATACATAAGTAATGTCCCACCGGCTGTTCTGTAAAGCCTTGGGAGGTAGGAAATCTCAAATCGGAGAAAAACTGATAAAGCACACCAGAAAAATTCGAAGATATCTAAATTGGAACAGCCAGGACCCTTAGATACTACTTCTGGCAAAAATTTGCAACAGTTTTTTTACCCGAAAACCGATCAAGCAATTGAAAATATATTTTGTTTTGTAGTTTTCATCTCGAAAGCTAGCGAATATCTGTTTCTATCTATTTACCAGCTGGCACAACCAGGTTTTCTATGGTGATATCATTACAAGAGGATTTAATTGCGTCAAGTTCGTCTATTGACTTTCCCGTTAAAGTGCACGATGTCGCCCTGTTCGAGGGATCACTAAAAACTGTTGCGGAAGTTATTTCTGATGCTGCAACAGCTACCACACCCAAACCAATTAATATTTTGATTATCTACTTCATAATTATTGTAACGTGGCAGAAGTCAGTATTTAATTAGACGACCTCTAAAAAAGTTATGGTAAAATAAAAGATAAATTGAAGGGTATGATAAGTAATTCTCTATTATTTCAATCATACATAAGTGTTTGTTCAGTGTCGCTAATGTAAAATGTACATAAAACATAGAACGATTTACAGTTTGGTTTCTCGGCTTTTACAGTTTTTCTAAATAGTTATTCAAGGAATGTATCACAAGAAATTAACTACAATCAAATTTAGTAAAAACACTTATGATTCAAAATAAGAAACGACAAGAGAAATATGTCCAGCTACATACCTTATTCAAAAATCGGTTATAAATCCGAACCTATTAGATATTACTGCATGAATCATCCACTGATTTAATGTACAGTTATTTACCCAATATGTATTAAAAACAAAATTTTTGAGTGTTGTTTACGAAAAACTTTAAGATTATGATATAATCAATGCATTGTTCTGCTAATTGTCTTGTGTTATCAATCGCATGATATGGAACGGCCCGAACCGGCAAAAATGTGCAACAGTTTTTTGCCCGCAAAATCGATAAATCTTTTGAAAATTTATTTTTTAAGTTGCGGAATTATCTTTTGCAGTTTTCATCTCAAAAGCTCGCGAAAATCTTTTAAATATGTAGCAAAAGAAAGCAATTATTTTACATGGGACAACTTATGACTAAACCCACTCCTCAAATCTGTGATGAGCAAAATTGGTCTTGCGAAAACGCAAGACCAATACTCTTTTTATACTGGCAAGACCAAAACCAAAACCTAAAGAACAACATCAACACCAAAACTAAGACCAAATATGCAAGATGAAACGAAAAATTATTACTTTCGGTAGATTTATGAGTTAAACTATTTGAAGCAACAAACTATCTGTGTAAGTTTTTACCACAGGGGGTTCTAGTATTATTTTACAACAGTTAAAATTTTGCTTAATGTCCATTATCCTTGCTTCGGATCAATGTTCTTTGTTGCTTGCTCCATTGCTACTGGTTGATAGTGTAAAAACACTTGATTGCTTATCTCTATTTCCCTAAACTAAAAATATATATACTAGAGTGTTGAAATCACTAGGTAAGGCGTACATTTAAAAAGATTAATTATAAAATTAAAAACAACACTATTCATTATTCATATTTAATGACAAACAAAATGGTTTACAATAACAGTTAATGTACACCATTAAGTTGAAGGTAAAGAATTTTCCTTAAGCACAAAAAACATCAGTATTTGGAGGTAGTTGTTGGCATGTTCTATTCCTTCTTCCACCCGTAATACTCACATTGCTCCAATGCCAATTTTGTGCGACACCTTCGCCAAGCAGAATATAAATATTGGTACCTCTTGGTTGAACTGTGCCATGTACGTTTGTTATTCTAACGTTACGGATTGGAATGCCGTTGCTAGGAGTACCTGTGGGACCAGGCATGTTCCTATAATCGCCTCGCACCACAATTCCATAATCCCTTATTTTGCTTAAGGTAATGTTATCATAAGTAACACCGGAAACTAATCCAGTAGCATTAACGACCGTTTTTATTCGAATTCCATTTTCTGAATTCGCTACAGTGCAATGGGTAAAGTAAACGTTTTCAACGAGATTATTTGTTCTGTTACCGACTGACCCAATTGATATCCCGTGACCACCAGAACATGAAGCGCGTGAAAAGTGAATGTTTTTTCCGGATCTAACGGCTATACAGTCGTCCTGATTTTGTACAACAGTGTCGCTAATGAAAACGTTTTCGGAACCTTTAACGTTAATTGCATCGGTATTGTGACCTCCTCGGGTATCTCCATCTTTAGTATTCATAACTACATTATTTACGGTTATATTTGTACAGTTGTGAATGGCGAAACAATGACGTGGTGAATTGAGAAAATTTATATGGTTCACGACTGCGTTGTGCAAATATCTGATTTTGAAAAATCTTGGTTTTCGAACACCACCGTTACTACCAAGATTGTCCCACCATCTCGCACCCTGACCATCGAAGACGTGTCCTCTTTCACCTGTTATATTTATATTAGTACCACTTATTAAGACCAAGGGACCTTTCCATTCTGCGTATCCGAAAGAAATGTTTCCTTTAAACGTTATCGACACATCCGATAAGCCTGTTAAATCTAATGTTTTACCAGCTGGTACAGCCAGGTTTTCTATGGTGATATCTTTACAAGAGGATTTAATTGCGTCAAGTCCGTCTATTGACTTTCCCGTTAAAGTGCACGATGTCGCCCTGTTCGAGGGATCACTAAAAACTGTTGCGGAAGTTATTTCTGATGCTGCAACAGCTACCACACCCAAACCAAGTAATATTTTGAATATCAACTTCATAATTATTGGAACGTGGCAACAGTCAGTATTTAAATAGTCGACCTTTAAAAAAGTTACGGTAAAATAAAAGATAAATTCAAGGATATGATGAGTAATTCTGCTTTTTATCTTTGATACATAAGCGTGTATTGAGTAACATTAACGTAAAATACTGCTTATATATAAAAAAGGACAATTTATAATTTGGTTTCTACGATTTTTCTCAAAAATACGCTGACATCTTAACTTAAACATTTTGATATTACGTATATACATAATTATTCAACGAAAGTTTCACAAGAAGCTAACCAGGAACCTAAAGAAACTTAATAAAACACTTATGATTCAAAATAACAAAGGATAAGTAAAATAAGTCTATCCACATACCTTATTCGAAAGTCGGTTATAAATCCGAACCTATTAGGTATTACCATATGGATCAGCCACTGGTTTAATGTATAGGTTTTACCCAACAGGTATGAATTAAAACCAAACTTTTTACGTGTTATATACGAAAAATTTTAAGATATAATCAATGCATTTTTGTGCTAATTGTTTTATGTTATCAATCACATGATATAAGAGGAAATTTCATAATAAAAGGTATATCTTGTACCTTTAGATATGAGGCAAGCGCGTGATCAGGACCGGATCTTTAAAGCCACTCCCCCTCTCACAAAATATTGGTAAACATAATTTCTTTTTCTATTACCGCTACAGCTTCGTGTGTCCTAGCAACGAGATCCTTAATCATTTTTGCGTGAGAGTAGCACCGATCCCATGTTCTAACATCAAGTTTTTCTCTATATATCCTAAATTCTCGTTTCCGTTTTGATTAATTTTCTATCTTATCCTTATATAAGCCTCACATTAGTTGAACACCTTTTTATCTTTATCCTATAGCTAAATTAGGTCCTACTAGCTGTTCTGTAAGGTCATCTGAGGTAGAAAACCTCAAATTCGAGTAAAACTGATAAAGCACACTTGAAAAATTCGAAGATATCTAAATCGGAAAAGCCGAAATCGGCAAAAATCTGCAACAGTGTTTTATCCGAAAACCGATAAAAGTTTTGAAAACACGTTTTTATAACTCAGGTTCACCTCAGGTTAGGTCAGACAATAAGTCCTTAATTAGATATCAATACACTTTCAAGTGGCCGGCAGTGATCGCGTCAAAAAGGATTGAAGGATTATTTAAGAATATCGTCGGAAAATAGTTCTCCACTCCCTGATAAAATTTAAAACAATTGATTAAAGTTCGTCTAGAGATTCCTGTGGCATTTGAAACACAGTTAGAAACGTGAAACTCTTGTACGAAAAGGGAGCGAGAATATTGGAAAATTACTTCGGTTCAACCGCCTGATTCAATAAAATTAGCTCTAAGGTCTATTAAAATGCAAATGGAGAGAACGTTGCAGCCTTTTTAAATGAAATAATGTTATCGCTGGCAGTGTGAATTCCTGAAACGAAACCATTTAATGATGTTTTATTGAAAGAGGCAAACAGAATTTTCTTTTGTAGTTTTAATCTTGAATCTTCGCGAAAATCTATTAAACATGTAGCAGACGGAAATTATTATTTTAAATGGCACAACTTATGACTAAATCCGCTCCCCAAACTGGTAATTGGCAAAATTTGTCTTGATGTTGCAGTTTTGATCATGGTTTTGCGAAAATGCGAGACAAAGACTGTCTTTATGCTAGCAAAACCAAGACTTAATGTATATATACAAAAGAAAGTCGTTTTAGTTACACTATTTATAACTCAAGAACGGCTTAACCGATTTGGCTGAAAATTGGTGGGAAGGTAGCTTAGAACCAGCAGAGGGACATAGGATACTTTTTATCCCATTCCCGTGGAAAAAAAGTGATATAAGAAAACGTATCTGACATGGAATAAAATTAGTGACATACATACTTATTTCAACATTTTACAAAATTCTACCTCTTTAGGAAGCTGAAAGGGGTTTGCAAAGATTGCATGTTTGTTTTTGGTACGATTTACCTGAAACTGGTTAAAAAATTCAATTTCTGTTGGGGGGGAAGGAGTGGTGAAGAGGAGTTGCAATGTTTAAATGGAACATATATTATTTGTGGTCAGATTTACTTGAAACTTGGTTTAATGGTCTCTCATTTAATTTCTGAAAGACCTACCTCGACATTTTAAAAAATTCAACCTCGAAGGGGGGGGTTGCAATTTTTGTTTGGAACATACTTTATTTGTGGTTGAATTTACTTGAAACTTGCCATATATGCTGTTTGATATCATTAATCAAATGAAAAGAGGTTGCAACGTTTCCATGGGGTATACTTCATTTGTACTCGGATTTACTCGAAGGTTGCTCATTGTTGAAATTAACCAAATACGTGTTTTGGCAATTTTTAAAAATCAACCCTTAAGGATGAAATGTTGTTGCTACGTTTGTATTTGAAATCTAAGATGGCGACACTACATATAATTAAAACGTTGTAAGGATGAATTGGAAGTTAAAAGGTTTTATGGAGAAACAACAGTTAGATATATTTTTCAATTACAGTTTCCATTCCCATATTGTAAGTACCGAAGGCATTCATCAACGTAATGGGGAATGAATACAAGTATATACATATATATGTGCGATTTTCCTGCTAGGTATTCATTACTTATGAAAGTGACTGTACACCTGACAGAGCCGTTTTAATTATTCAGTACACTTCATTCGCTTAAATGGTCTCTGACGTGGACGTGAACGGTTTCGGGCTGCCAAACTGGCAAACCTTTATAAAACAACCACCAGGCCCGTCATTTCAAACACGACGACATAAATTGCGTGATTACTTTTTATCACTTTGTTCACTTAATTTTGCCAATCTCATTTCGTTACTTAACTTGCTTTTAACATTAACTATGTACGCCTTTTTTTGCGTTTACAATCAAAATTACAATATGCTCATATGTGTTTTAAAAGAAAATTGTGAAAAATGAAATAGGGACACAGTCTTAGGGCTGCGCCACTTACGAAGATACGAAAAAACCAAATCAAGTTCGATCGCTTATTAAAAGCTGTCCATTGTAGCCATTTCCGTGTTGGTTTAGCGGGAGATTTATGCAAGTAGGTCAAGGAAAATCAGAAAATTGTTAAAAGCATGTACAGTAACTGGTTTGAAGTACAACCCTTGGTGCATAAGTACCTGTCTATTATCGATCTGTACACTTCTTTCGCCAAAAGCCTCGACTCGCATCTAGGCTATAATTGGGGCTTTTCCCCGTCTATGTTACCTGATGGTCGATCCTGACTGCAAATACGTATTTTTACACATACATATCCATATAATATTGGGATCCGTCAAATGGGCATACACCATCTGGTGGCAAAATTTATGACTCGAATGAGGGAAAAATTGACATAGGAACTATGCACGCAAATTGTAAAATTGTTTATTAAAATAATAAAACACGTTAAAAAAGTAAAAATTTTTATGATGGAGTCGACGAAGTTTTCTTCTAAAGTTAAATCAAATAAAAAGTTAATATGTTCAGTGAAAAGCTGCAATAGCACTTCAGACATAGATCTTCACTCTTCACCTACATTAACCACTTTCCAATAAAAACTAACCGTTTGGATGAAAGCAGTAGTTATCAAAGAAGTGAATTCCGGAATAAAAATTTGTTCACGTCATTTTAATGCACACGATTATATTTCCGCAAGTATTTACCATCAGCCATAACCTTAATATTTAAAACTAGAATCATACTAAAATTATAAAGTGAGAAATTATTTATTCCTGTGTAATTGATTTAACACAATTCTAATGATACGATATAAGTATTTTGAGGTTAAGAACCTACCTGCTGCAATACAACAAAGTTGCAATAATGTGTTTGCAACGTCCTCTTAAATTGGCTTTGCACGTGCAAGTCATTGATATGATATTGCTTAAATCACCCAGAATCACCTCAGCAATTATATAACGTGAATCACTTTTTAAATCCGAAGTTTGTAAAAAGTAGGCAGTAAACTTGACGGAATTTGAAGGCTAGCTTCCGGATTTGTTATTTCCGACTTTTATAATGTGATTGGTATTAAAAACACGCTCACCTTCAACGAAATTTCCTTTCCGAGGCTTTGTGTCAGCCCAATCACATATTGTGTCAATACTTAACATTTTATCGTAATTTAAAAACTTGGAAATTGCACTGTACACTATAGGAACTACGATAAATTTTCCCTAATCGGCGCCATGTTTTTAGGCTCCTCCCATTTGACGGATCCCAATAGTCATTTGAAATGCAGAATTGTAAAAAGAAAGAAAATAATTTTTGGGAACAGTATTTTTTTCTAGGTAAAACGGTACCCTTGGTCCTATTCTGTACCCCTGACAATGTGTATACAAAATTTCATGGTTTTCCCGCGACTTCACTCGCGTTGATGTCCTACACACGTGTCAAAGATCATCGACGACGTCATTGCACCACGTAAAAAAACATCAAATGAATTAAATAAAATTAGTTGTTAGCTGGTTCGAGTCGAGGTTTGCCAATAGTTTCCTTCTGCCCATGTACTTTGAAGATTTGGACATGCTAACCGAAAGCCACGCTGCATTCGACAGGCAGGCGAAGCGGAAATTGATTTGAAGATGGAATAATGGATAATTTGTTCGGACACAGGACTTGTATGCATGTACATCGGGATAAACTCATTCGCGCAAACAAAACCGACAACCGATGCAATCAGTCATGTACCATTACTCTCAACGATGGCACATATTATGCACATGGACTTGTGGAACATTTATCCATGTACCTATCTATGTACGTAGAGGACGTTTTTCTCGTAACTACCTGGGACAAGGAAGAGATACGTTAGGCATTTCTTTCCGGTGGAAAATCAAAAGATGACGATCTTGTGTGGTCTGTTAGAATGGAATTTAAAATGTATTTTCTTTTCGAAAGGTCAAGAATCTTACCCTTGTCTCTGGAAACAGGAAAACATAGAAAGATCTCACCGAAAATTATAACCAACAAAACAAAATTAGCAGAGACATGTCTTTCGAAATAAAAAAAGAAAAGCAGAGGTTTTCTAATATTGTAGGTAGGTATCGTAAATACGATTAAGTTTGGTTATAATAAAAGGTGATTACTATAGCCGGCAGTCCCTATAAGCAATTTATCCGTAAAGGCTAAAATATTATTCGTTGCTAGACCTCAGAGAAGCCGTTACATACGAAGTTTTCACTTGATTACAATAAAACACCCGAAATCTTCGTATGTAGCGGTAGTCAAGTTTTATTATAACCAAATTTTGTCGTATTTCTTTCTAATTTTCTTAACATAGAACAAAAATACTGGTATACAAGGGAAGCAAAAGTAAAGAAAGAGCGAATATAAAGATAGAAGACGAAAAATTAGAAGAAGCCGATTTTAGGTATCTAGGAAGTCAGATAAGTCAGGATGGAAGGAGTAGTAGAGATATAAAGCAGAGGATAGCGCAGGGTCAAATCACCTTCAATAAAAGCAAGT